GGCAGTGAGGTGGGGGCGCATGTCACTGGGGTTGTGCAGAAACCAGGCCGCTTCCCCTCAGTAATCGGCCCAGTCGCCCTCACTACCCCACTGCCTTTGGGACTGACCCTGCACTTTCAACGCACACACACGGCCCGGGCTTTCCTTGCTCTCAGTTTGTTCCCTGGCACTGACCCAGGTACCCTTAAGAACCACCTGTCACTCTGAGCACCCCAAACTCCAGCCCCTCGAACTTGAGCAAGCCAGAGTTTGCGGTGGCTGGGAGCATAAGCGTCTTTCGGAATCGCAGCCTGCGATGATTTTACTTATTGGGTGTGTCTAGACTACGTGGCTCCAGCGATAGAGCCATGTAAAGTAGTTTATTCGGCATAGTCAATGATGCGGGGATTTAAATAATTAAGATAAAAATGTCCGCCGCGCTGTGCCGACAATCAGCTGATCCAGCACAGTGCGGCAGTCTAGACAAGGGGAGCCTTTGTCGACCGCTCCTGTAAGCCTCGTGAAACCTGTCGACGGAGCCATGTAGTCTAGATGTACCCATTAACCCCTCAGAGCAAGGGTGCCATGGCGGGAGGTCAGTGGGGGCAGCAGCCATGTGCTTTTCATCCCGTTCCCCGGACACTAAGGGAGTGAGGGGGAAGTGCCTGTGTCCCATGCATGCCTCTCACACCCAGCTGGTGAGCTCCCCTCGCTCCCTTAGCGTCCGGGGAACAGGAGGAAAAGCCAGCCGCGTCCTGGAGCGCACGGCTGCTGCATCCTCCTTGCCAAGTGGCCATCTTCAGCGTCTCCCCCAGGGTTCCAGATCAATTTGCAATTAAAGAAAAAAAGCAAAGAACTCTTTCTCGTTTGCACTGTCAAGCAGCCCCTCTGGCGCCCCACAAAAATAGTCCTTTTAAATCATGAGATTACAAGTAAACAAAGGTGACAACTGCATGGGTTAGGGCAGGAGTGGGGAACCTAAGGCCTGGGGGACGGAGGCAGCCCCCAGCTTGCCTGGATCCGGCCCCTGAGGGTCAGGGTTCCCCCCAGCATCTGTGCTGTTGCTCCAGCCCGCCCTGCTATCCCCCTGCAGGGCTGGAGCACACCAAAATCCACCAGCCCCAGGCTCTGGTGTGTGGTCGTTCTCCTTCTTAGTCAGGGGCCATGGCAGTGAGGGGTTTTTTTTTTTTTTTTGCCTCTCACGTGTGTGAGACCCCTGACTGATTCTTCTGTGGGTCAGCATCCCCCAACCCAAAACCAGGTTCCCCACCCCTGGGCGAGGGGATGTCTGCACTTGCACTGGCTTGACAAAACTTTTGTCCTGCCCAGGTGCTGAAGCCGCCCTCCTGTGAACACCAAAGTTTTGCCACGGCACATGACAGTGTGCACACTGCTTTGTCAGCAAGAGCTCTCCACTGTCACCGAAGTGAGCCCTGCCCCGTGAAGCGGGGGGCGGGATTGTGTTGACGAGAGTGCCAGCAAAGACCATTCAAACGAGCTGTCTTTTACCAACAAGGCCGTGTCGACGCAGCATTGGCTCTCTGGTCACCGCATAGCTCTGACACTGGGTGCGCTGGGCCACGTCTGGCAAAGCTAATGTGAGTTTAGTTGGTTCTTTTGCAGATGTGCAGGAGGTTTATACCACTGACTTGGCCTAGGCACAGCTTCCTGGTTTTCCCCTCTGGAGTAGCATGTGGGAAACACCCTGGTACTCTTACAAGGAGCAAATAGTAATAGCTAAAGCTGCATTTTGAGGGAGGCCTCACCGCAAACTGGCCAGGGCACGATTTTGTATTGAACGTGGTGTAGCAGCTGCTTTGTGGGCGCTTAGCCTGCACTGAAGCCACGTACAAAGCAGGTTACTTGGGCACCGGTTTATTTTTAGCTGATAGTTAAATACAGCTGCTCTTTCTGATTAAATAAAGCATTTGTGTCTCTGTAGGGTTGTTCAGCAATTTACTTCAGTGGCCCAGTTTCCTCACTGTCTGAACCACTGCCACCTTCCGGCCACACCGGAGAACAGCCAGTGTCCCTGATGCGTGACCTGAAAAACCCCTTTGAGCGTCTTCCTGTTATGTAACTGCAGTTTTTGCTATAGGCTGTTTTTTTTCTTGCTTTCCTGTCCAGCTCAGTGCAGCATTAGCCGAGCAAAGCAGGCTCTGACGGCTCCGGAAAAGCAAAAGCCCCGTGTAAATAGCAGCCTGTGGCATGCGTCCTGTAAAAGCCCCGTGTAAATAGCAGCCTGTGGCATGCACACGCTATAGGGCACAGGTAACAGGGTAACTGGTGCGCCACGCAGCGCCGTGAGGCTAAGCCAGCGCTCCCGCGTGTGGCGCTGCTCTGGTTTGCATTTGCAGTCAGACTGCTGCCAGTGGAGGGTGGAATGTGCATGAACAATCTGTTTATTTTCGACCCGCACCCCCAGGAGAAAAGCTTTGGCTGTGCAGGCGGGTGTTGTGTAATTCGCTGCTGCTGGCCCCCTCCCTGGAGCGTACGGTGCTGCCCTAAACATGCCATGGCAGCAATACTCCGCTGCAGGGCTGCAGCGCTCCACAGGGCCCAGGGCAGTCACGGAGATACGGGGGCCGGCCCAAGGTGCTGCTGGGTTTAAATGAATTTAAACGGCTGAGCTGAGCTAACAGAGCATGTCACTGGGGCAGGCTCAGTGACTCCATTCCGTGACCACGCGTGGCTCTGACGGGGCAGTGCTCTTTGGGGCTGCATCCCTGCGTGCAGTGCAGAGCTTGGCCCCCCTTGTAACACGCAAGGCAGAGGCGAGCTGCATGTCAGCGCGATGTTGGAGTACACACTCACCAGTGGACTGTACCGAGAGGGCGGACAGGCCAAGGGTTAGCTCGCTAGGCAGGGCTGCAGGCGACCTGGAGTCAATTCCCTGCTCTGCCACTGCCTCCCTGTGGGACCTTGGGCACATCACTTAGGTCCTCAACAACATTTAAGATGATTTCAATGAGCGCTATCTAGAGGCGTGAGGAGCCGGGCCTTTGTCTGTCTACCTCAGTTCCCCTCCAGGGATGGGGGATAATGGCTAGGACCACGAGGCTGTCATGGAAGTCACTCCCTGGCTGACTCCCCTGAGCAGCAGCAATGGCCTAGGCCTCACCACCTAAGCCCCCGCAGCACCCTAGGCTGTCCCTGCAACCAAGCACCAGTAGCACCCCCGAAGCCACCCAGAGCAGCAGCAGTGCTGTAGAGCCCCTGGAGCACCTAGGGTTTGGTTGAGGTATTTACAGTCCAGGCCACAGGCCATGAATTTGTGTTCAATGCCCATGACCTGTCCCATGACTCAGTCTCAGCCTTAGCCCTACTTTGCAGGAGCTGCTGTGCAGAGATCTAAGGGGAAGCTGAGGCGCTCAGAACTGGTGGGACCAGAGGCCACAGAAAGGGACAGCTGGACGGTCAGTTACGTGCTGTGCACCTTCCCACACTCATGGCTCTCAGGGACTCTGAAGGAAATGAACAAAGGACATTGCCTCATCCCAGGCCTTCCCACAAAGAAGCCACAGAAGCCCTTTCTCCCTGCACTAAGCAAACAGCCAAGAGTCTCTCTCCCACACACGTTAACACGCTCCCAGGACTCCATGCACCGCTCAGTGAAACATGGTGTGCTCCGGCATGCTGGTTTCAGAACAGTGTTTATTGAGAGCAGGACCTCGCGGGGTATTGGAACCAGTGTCTCTTGCAGCTAAGGGACTACAGGCCTCACGGCTTCTGTTAGCAAACCCACCGGAGACTGCAGTTGCCAAAGGTTCCTATCACTTGGCCCCTTGCACTGGATCGCAACTGGACCTGCTGCAGCTGGTTGTGTAGTTAACACACCTGTCCTGGCAAGGTAAGATACATGGCGCAGAGGCAGAGGGGAAACAAACAGGAACGCCACATATGGTGACAGCGGATCTACGGTAAGTCCTGCTTCCAGTGGAGAACCCCCTGCGGAACTTGCTTGGAGCTCTGCCAGGCCACCTGATTTTTGCTGGGTCAGATTCCACTGTGCGTAGCGGAGGCCCACCGCAGGCCGAGAGGCGTAGCTAACCTGAAATACGCTGTGCACGCTTCAGGTGCTAGAGGGAAGCTAGTCTGAAGTCGTGCCGCGAGGTGCAGAAGATGGCGACAGGAGTTTTACAATGAGCTGCCTCCTTCCTGGCGCACCAGTATCTTTTCTATGCACAAACAGAATTAGACCCTGGCACGTGGCGTAACTCCGAGCGAGAGGCATGTGACGGACGGAACGACACTCCTAAGCAGGGTTTAATTCCCGGCTCTCTGCCAAGCCTGGGCTCCGTAGGCCCATTCCCTAGAGGAGGAGAGAGGGGTTTGCCTAGGGCTGTACCATCCATGGCTCTGCACTGCCCTTCGTGCGGGATTTGTGGGGAAGGACCTTGCAGCCCCATGTGGATAGATGTTCAGGCATCATTTCCAGTGAGGGCAGGGCCAGGAAGCTCTGAGCCGCTAGACGAGCAGGGAAGGGGAACCAGGGTCCTGTCTCTGAGTCAGACGGGAAGAGGAATTAGGGAGCATCAGGTAAGAGTTAGAGCTCGGAGAGGAAGAGGAAGGAATTTCTCCTGCCCAGCTGCTCCCGCCCCTTCAACAGTGAGCTGGGCACATAAACGTAGCTCCCCCTCCCTCCCGTTTTGGGAGCCAGGGCTAGCGGGCTCCCAGCAGTGCTAGGAAGGGACCATTTGCTGGGCACGGCACAGTGTAACGAGTGAAGCGGACTTGGGCCCAGCAGGGCGTCTCCCCTGGCTGGCGTGGCCCCACCCAGCGGGGCCGTGGGCGACCCGCACTGGAGGAGAGTTGGCGGGCAGGAGCATGGCGGGCTGAGATGGGCCCGTCAGAGCAGAAGGCCTGTCAGAAGGGGAGCAGTGAGCAGGAAGAGCGAAAACTCCAGAAAGTTGCTGGTGGCTGAACCACTGAGCTGGTCCAAATCCTTCTGCGTGGGGCCCGTCATCAGCTCTTCGATCTCCCTGGCACCTGCGAGGGGAAAGGCAGGAGACCTGCAGTCACGGCAAAGGAGCAGCCCGGTCCCACGGCTCCCCCTGCGACCGACAGCAGCACCGCGCGCCTCCCAAGGCAAGACACAGCTGGTGGGTTAGCGGGAAGCCATGCTCAAGCATCACGCAGCAGGCTGCTCCGAGGGTCCCTGACTGCGTTGGGGCAGTGCTGGGAAGGGGTCCGTGCTGTGAGGGGAGTGGCAGGGCCAGGCTGCTCTTGTTTCCTGCCACGTGTATTTAGATTGCTGAGGGGCTGCCCATGCCCTTCCGGCCCAGCCGGGACAGACACTTGCTCCCCAGCTGCCTTACCTGACAGGGAGGAGTGGGCAGCGAGGTTGTGCCCCCCTGTGGCCTTGGAAGATGGCAACACATGCAAGGGGACGGTCACCTTAGCCGTGGCGGGTGCTGGCTGTAGGGCAGGTGGGGGCTGCTTGGTATTGGCCAAGCTCAGCTCGGTTTCCAGAGGCATAAGGCTGAAGGATGGAGGGGGCTCTGAGGAGAGAGCTGGCTCAGCTCCCAGGGAAACTGCATTAGGCTCCTTCCAGGCTCCCTCTCCTCCGGGGGAGGCAGGAGGGCCGAAGGTGGACTCCAGGTCGAGGAAGAGCATGTCCTCCGTGGTCGCCAAGGGAGCACCAGTCTCCTCAGAGCCCACTTGTTTTTCGGGAGAGGGTGTCAGGTCCAGGTCTGAGGTCGGCTCCAAGGAGGGTGTCGGCCCAGTGGCTGAGGGAGGGTTGGGCCTTGCTCTGAGGGTGGGTGTCAGGCTGGAGGGGGTGGGTGTCGGCCTTTTGTTCATGGTGGTGTTGACAAGGGCTGGCCTTGTGGCTGTGGGGGAAATAGTGGGGTTCAGGGTAGAGGGGGTGAGGGCTGGCCTGGTGGGTGGGCCTGGCTTTTTTTCCACTGTGGTGGGGGCCGGCCTTGTGGCATCAGTGGTGGGGGGACTCGTGGTCGTGGTGGGGGCCGGCCTTGTGGCATCA